AATCTGGTAATGAATTGTACATAGTAATATTATAATCATAGTGGATGGAAATATGGAATAACATATTTTTTCATCATGTCGTTCGTGAGATATTTCCTGCACATAATCTTATTTAGATAGAAACAGATACATTCAACGGCCTAGAGAACGAGTCTCCAAAATTACAGAAACTTACTTGTTTCTATAACCCGTAAATAAATAAATCCACAAATAGCAAATCTACTTTGAACTACGCCTTGATACAATAAAAGAAATCTCTCATATTTTAATATACTTCTCCTCCACTGATATTTTACACATAATTTTAATTTTCTTCAACTGCCACAGTCAACACAAACTACGATAATTGATTGGAACTAGAAAATATTATGATTTTGTTACTGATTTTTTTTTTTATCGATAGATTTTTACTAACGAATAAAAAGAAAACAGGAGTTTTTATTACTTCGGCGTTCGGCCGTCAAAACGCAAGCCGACCGCCGTTTTCTACCGTGGATGGAAACGCGGCGTATTACATCCGTCGTGTATATAACTACTCCGACATAAGCCAATGCATTTTGAATTTGACGGAAAACACGGAGGAATACGCCGGCCGAAGGTTACCTAGGTAAAGAAGTGAACAAGTCCGCTATTGTTCAGCCGAATATAATAACGCCAATTAAAATATTAATTTAATGAAAATTTAACGTAATAAAATGTGTTTGTGTTTATGTAGGTACACCGAATGCATTATGTATGATGAATTGATGACCAACTTACATCGAAAATAATAAAATTAAATTAAACACTTATTTTAAAAATATTATGGCTATAATAGGTATTAAGTACATCAATCAATGTTAAAACCTTAGAAGTTCATTCACATTTACTTTTATATGATAACGAAAGTTGTATTACTTCTTTGCACAAGTTGTCAACTTGTAAATAACTAACAATAGTAATAAACTAATAATTAACATTATAATAACATTTATACTAAATAATAACTATGTATTAATGTTAATAATAGACAGAAAACGCAAATAAAACCAAACTAAAGTATATGAACTATTTGTCAATATTATTTAGTTTTTTGTCTTCAATTTAATTCGTTGTTTTTAAAATGGGACTATGGGAAATTTTCATTTAAAACTTACTGTTTAAAAGTTATCGAATTAATGTAGGTAGAATATAAAATAAAAATAAAAAGGTTAATAAATTTAAATGTAAATTGTATTTATATTTTCATAAGATAGCATCTTATAAACTACAAAACAAATTTGCAATTCTATTCACACATATTACTTTTTTTCATTAATTTATTTTACCACTGACCATATTTTACACTTTACCTACTTAGAATTACATAGAATATGGGTAATTACTTATTTTACACTTCAAAAATATATTTTTCCTACATCGTCTTTCCTAAAAACATAAAGAACTAAAAATATACTAGGTATAGGTAATACTAGGTTATACGCCTATATTATTCTGAAATAAATATACTCTTATGCAATTTATGTATAGGCATTAGGCACACAGATAAGATTTATTTCGGATTAACTGAATTGAATAATAAAAATATTTTAGTGAATATTATTTACAATCGCTATTTATGATTAACAAAATGCTGTATTATTAAAACACTTATATATTATCCATTCACCATTTATCAATAAAAACTCGAGGGTTACAATATTTTGTATTGCCCACTCAATTGTCCATTATTGTGTCTTAACAAAGAAATATCTAGTGGATAATTTATCAAGTTCAAGATACTAAATTAAAAATTAAATCAATTTTCAAATACTGTTTCTATGTTTATATGTTATTATTTATTAGATAGGTGCATATGGTTTTTGGAGATGTTTTTGGTTATTTATTGAAACACTCAATAAATACCTACGTCCCATAAGATTTCCTATAGGTGTATATATTTGAATTCGTAATTAAATATTAAAGATAGAAGCACAATCTAATATATAAGTCTATAGAAATTGAATTTAGAAATATATTATGAAAAATAATATAAAATAGGTGATACTTCTATATAATAACCTATACTAGGTAATTTTAGTACGAATACAATGTCTTTTTGTGTTTATAAAATATTCAAGTTATTGCTTATGTATGTAAGTTATTATCATATAAGCACTAATAAAAATGTTAAAACTCTAAAAACGGTTTGAACTCGGGTTTGAATGGTTAATAATTAATAATTCTGAAAAATGAGAAAGTCACGAGCTTTTTAAAATGTTTTATTCAAATACTGACTCAGTATAGCTTTTTGTTAAAATTAAAGTTCGTTATTTCTATATTTTCAACAGCACAAGATTTAAATTCGCAGAAAATAGAAGTTTAGTAGTTTGGATTGAAAGATTTAGGCCGTAAACCAGAAATCTCGTTGTCATCGTGTTACTCGTTTCGACAGTGCTTCTGGAATCTCAGGTTCCATACGGCATCCGTTACTGCACTGGACCAATAGATACGACTGCGTATTCTCTCCCGTTAATATAACTATCCCCTCGGTACGTAATTTATATCACGGAACTAACATATCCTATGGTAAAGTACTTTTACCGCAATGGGTTAATCCATCCGTAAATTATTTCTCTATTTACAAGACCAAAATCGATCTTTAAATTCCACACATTTTAGCTTTCGAAGCTGTACCTACGAGTATTAAGCTAAACTACTCTCTTTATACGAAATACTATCCACAATTAATAAAGTAAAGTAATAGTAATAATATTAATAATTATTATTTGCGATAGATATTATATTCCTACAAATTTGAGTACAAATTATCATATATTTAATGCTTTACAATTATGTACTTATCTACGAACTTTCGACCTACACTGAACAATTGTATAAATGAAATTCGAGAATCATCACTAATTTATAAGTTAAATTCGATAATGATCCACACATTTAAGCAGTAACGTCACCCGTTTAAGAGGGAGTGTCAAATAATCAAGCACTATTCAATGCGTCTTATAAATATTTCTAAATTAATTCTCATATAGTCATATTTAATAAGTCGTGTTCATTAAATCCGTAAAAGAATAGGTAAAATACGTCTTGAATGAAAATATTCGTAACGTTTGATACATTTTAAATATATAACAGTAGCATTTACTGCAAATATTAAGTATAGCAAACTAATTATTATATTTTGTTACGATTACATAACATAACATTTCAACCTCGATTTCAACTATATAGGTAGTCGTTATTACGATATGTAATACTCATAAGTATTTATCATCAAAAGAAACTATGTTTAATTAAAAGTAAATTTCTTAATTATCCCAGGAAATTTAATTTACTTTAATTAGATAATGCAGTTTAATCTAAGTACATTAATAAATTGTGGGATTAAATGTATCATTTGCTCCATTACACCCCACATAGATAAATTTTAGAACAACCTAAACTCTCATATCTGGAATTCGTGTTACATTTTTTGTGAACATCATTATCATTCTGGAAATTGAAATTTGAATTAGTTTTACCTGTATATAAAGCAATTAAGTACTTTATCCTTTCTTATTATAATTTTGAGATATTAACAACATTCCTTAATTTTATTAAAAAAAAACAGAGATTGTTAGAACTAAAAACACTTTAAATGTAACTTTATTAAAGTTTGATAATTTTAAGACTAATATAAATATATCTACCTACGTATTGGTCAAAATTTAGTATTATTTTTTGGATTGTAGTAAAATAACAATATAATACGTATAGATTATACTTTGAAATTTAAATGCTTACATGCGCAAAAAATAAAAATAATTTTTAATTTAAATTGCAGATTTTTTAGTTCAAAAAAATGAATGTATATCTTGTATTTTATCGGTAAATGATAACCTACATCGTGATAACAGACATTTGAAACTTACCGCGTAGGTACCTAATACAAAATTATGTTTAGTAAAGTTCGATAACATATAATTTATTATTAATGATTGGGCCGATAACATTGTAACATAAATGCACGTTTTGAAAAACACATTAAATAACTTTTGGTTATCACTTTATCAGTAATATTGGCTAATGGTCAATAAATACCATAATCATCTACTGCCTACTGACATACCTAATACTGTTTCGTAGATTAAAAAATTGTCTCTAATACAAAATAAAAACGTCAAGTCTAATTATTAGATTTTTAAAAGTTAAACAATTTGTAAGCATGTCTTGCGATTACTTTTAAACGGCCTTATCGCCTTAAGGATAAATGTTCATTATTAGCATAGCTTCAAACAGGAGAGGTGGGAAAACACCAAGAAATTCGCATACTTTTACTCGAACCACACACGATAGGTAAACAAATTAGTAGGGTACCTATTATACAATATAATAATGTACGTTATTCACCTTGAACACGTGCGTGCAGCAGCCAGAGCTGTGACACTTCTGCGATTCGCACAACTAAAATCTATCTATCGATACACACTGCAGATTTATCGTTCATAACATCCTCATGACCCCAACGAACAATAATAATAATAAAACTGTCGTGAGCGTCTACTTATACGAAAAATGTGAGATGGTTTCCGTGATTCAGATTTAATAAAAGGTAGAGACAGGTAGACAATTGTAAAGTACCTGCTTACTACTACCGACGCACAGTATCTGTGTTGTGATCTATACCAAACGCAGAGAGGAGAACGCTATCCATTACTAAACCAGTCGTCAGATATTTTATACTGTAGGCAATCGGACAAAAATAACGCGTAAGATCGTTTCGAAATTAGAACGCGGCGACGGGGCCTCGAAATCTGCGAACAGTTGTATATAGCCAGTAGGTAAGTCGTAGATAACCGCGGTTACACGACTAGTCGTCTAGACCTACTTAATATTACAATAGTTCCTTTATAGATTCCAGACAACCACCTACAATCCCGCAGTACGTCTTCAGGGCGCGATTTCTCGCAAAAATCGTATACGATTATATTAATTTTGGAAACGTAAAATATTTTAAATTATGTGCAGTCAGGGCTACTTACGATTTCTGGTGCTGCCAAAGCCGGTCAGACAAAGTCAATGGATATGGATCGCACAGCACGACACGATCGGTGTTATCGGCACACACGTGAGAGCAGCCAAAACGCGAAAATTATTGATAACGGAACGACGGCGGCGGAGTTAGCGTGATGCGCGCGTGAGTCGCCGACGAGCCACCACCAATACACTGCATTCCGATCGGACGGGAACTGAAGCGGTGGCGGCAGCAACGGCAAGCACGACAACTGACAACCGGGAAGTGGGTAGGCGGGCGGCGGCAGTAGGCACGCACGGAAAACGCGGGCGCAGTGGTGCGCGCGCATACACGAACGCGGTCGTCGGCTCGAGGGGACCGGTGATGAGTGAGCGCGGCGGAGAAGTGCGTTTGTGGGGCGGACGGAGCGGGTGGTGGTCACCGGCGGAGCGGCGGGAGTGGCGGGCGCGCACGACACACGCTCGGTCGGTCAGCAGGCAGGCGGGCGATGGATTCGGTGTTGCCAACGGCTCGCCACCAAAACACCGGGTACCCCGCCGACGTTCGGCCGACAGACAGCCTACACATAATATTATTATTATTATTATTATAGGTATTCATGTCCTCGGCGCCGCGTCGCCCGTTTGACGAACGGACCTCAATTTTTTCACCCCCCTCACCAAAACGCACACGTTTCTTAGATACCTACTTTATTTCTTCCCGACGACGGACGCCTATCGGCTACCCACCCGCCACCCGCACTTCACTTCACACCCATTACCGAGTACCGTCTAGCGCCGTAAATTAATATCGCACTGATGCCAGACGCCTGTCTTCGAGCGCGGTTACTATAATGCACAACTGTAGTAACTACTACTACTACTATACTCACCGATGTACCTCTATATGACCAATAATATTGCCATACTATATTATAATAAGATCATAATATAGGCACATCGTCATCAAACGTCGTACACCGAAATGTATAATATTATTCTGTGTAATATAGTAATATACTTGCTGTGTCTACTTAAGCATACACGATAAATAATTTATACGCGCATTATATATGTATATTGTATATATGTTGACATGTTGTAAGCAATACAAATACCACGATATTGGTATAATAGAACCCATGTACAATATACTATGTAATAAATTTTACTCTTACGAGTTTAGAGAAAAACATTAGATATCAGCTTTTCATTTTAATTTTTCCGATATGTATAACAGACATTTTCAGTCTACTTTCGCTTATTCTTGACCTATCCTATAAATGAATAAAATGTACATACACAATACTCATCGTATTTACTAGGTGCTTATTTATTATTTACAAATCTTCGTTCGATAAAAATTCAAGCATTTTAGCTCAACAATTATTACTGACGGCCAAAATATGATTAATTTAATCATATCGAATAGAGTTTGAATAGAAATCATTTAATCATAATATCATATAGAATTGCATATCATCTGTATTCAACAGTATTTTGCATTGTTCTTGTTTTATACAAAACGCTGGTAATTGGAGTGCCTATACTGGCTGTGACGCTGTGTTATATACATAGGATTAAAATATAAAATAAGCAACTCGCCAATTACAATTATCTAGTATTTTTTATATTTAAGTTGAAGACAACATTATTAGGTACATTTTATATTCAATTTGGGGTTTTGGATGAAATACTTCATAACGAAAAAAATGTTTAAAAAATATTCGAGCACCTACTATAATATTATCTATCTAATACATACGTATATGTTTTTACTTGAATATAGACATACATAATTTGAATTTCTCTACATAATTAATAATTAAATATAATAATAATTTAGGTAACTTAAGTAGGTACCTGTTGTAAAATATTTTATTATGATTTAGGTTAATATAGTAACCTCCCCCTAATATTATAATATACAAGTACGTACTTTATAGTTTATACATTATGCCTATACTCAATAATATAGGTATTTAAGTTATTTAACTAATGTGATGAAAGTTTAAAATAAATAGCAATACAAATAAATATAGTTAATAATAAATTTAAACAATTGTTTGAATTTCTAATTTTTATATTATACTTTTTATACTTGACATTTATACTAGTATATCTGTATACACTATACACATTATGTACCTTTGTAATTAAGTTTAAACTTAAATTTTGTTTGTATATTTTTTTATTTCAAAAACAAAATGTATACCTATTAACAATAATTCCACAAACTTTAATTTCCTAAGTAAGTTGTTATACACAAGACTCCAATTTTTAAAACGTTTTACCTGCAAACCAAAAACCCACAGTTATTTAAAGTTTTACAAGAAAGTTGAAAGGACATAATAAAAAGATTTGTCATACTTTAATAATATATACCCGCGTATTTTAATCTTGTTTATGTTGCTGAAGTATTTTAAACAATAATAAATATAAAATTAAAAAATCTTTTTCGTATAAACTTTAAATTGGTTCTAGTCATATTTTTAAAATTGTTGATACTTGATTATATGAATTATCAAGTATTATATTATAATAAGGTATATATGCAACAAATGTACTAGAAAATTTGTTTTTAAACATTTGTTTAAACACATTTTTTATAATTACATAATATAAAACTAGCTAATTCCGTGCACTTCGTTGCCTGTTGAAAATGCTAAATCTATATAATATGATACTCACTTGTTATAATGCGAGCAGTATATTATCAGGTAGGATATTATATTATTATCATCGTACCCCACGCTAAGCGTATACTCTATATATGAATAATATTTTTTATTTTTATTTTATTTTTTATTTTGACTGTGGATACGTCGACGAAGCGGCTATAAATGCAACTCAGCAATCTTAATAGGCAGTATATGAAAATTTCTTTTAGTTATTTGTTTTTAGTTATTTTTTACCAATAACTAATATAACACATTCGCTTGGATATTCAGATAAAATTAATTGTTTTTTTTTTTTGGCTAAACTAAATAATTATAATAATTGTTTATTATTCGACGTCGATACCGACCTGCCTGGAAGCATCTATGGTTGTCGAGTTTGATTGTTGTTTATTTTCAGCCAGCGACTATTTCTTACTAAAAAAGGTATAGAATTTACACATTTATTTTAATGAATAATAACTATTTATTTATTAACTTTATTAGACTAAATGTATGCCTAAAACCTTCTCTGTGATGTCCTCGTCAATTTAAAAAAACCTACACGACAATTGAATAGGTAGTTTTATCGGTTAGCGCGGTCGTAGGAAACCCCTCACAATTTTATATAACAGTATAGATATGTCAATATTGCGTTTAGCGTATTATTATCTATTAGAAGTTAAATAATTTGAAATACATTACAATCTTGACAGTTTCTTACTATGATACAACATATTTACATATATTTTTAAAAATGTATGTAATACCTACTATAAAGTTTAACTCTTTTATCACTTATAAAAAATATTCATCATGCATTTAATATGTTACATTTTGTAATGTATGCAATTCCAGTTGAATATAAGTTTTTGAAATTTGATAAAATATTAAAATGTATACGACACGTTCTATAGTTGGATCCTAGATACTATATGCTATATTATACTATTGTAACACTAATGTGTTCAAAATCATATTGAGCTTTATTTGGGTACTTGGTCCCACAAATAAAACGTTTTCTTTTCCGTTCTAACAAACATAGAAGTTTGGGCCGTCTGTAATTTATCATCCAGTTATTACAACAGGTATGGTTAAAAAAGTTTTTTCTCTTTTACGTGTTTTTTCTTAAATTTAATTATGTTTTTAATAATATTATAACTTTGTCGTCTTGCTTGTTGAATACTTACAAAATAATTTACTAATGTTAACCTACTA